AGTGTTTTTTTTTTTTTTTGACAGGCAGAGTGGACAGTGAGAGACAGAGACAGAGAGAAAGGTCTTCCTTTGCCACTGGTTCACCCTCCAATGGCCGCTGCGGCCGGCGCGCTGCAGCCAGCACACCGCGCTGATCTGATGGCAGGAACCAGGTGCTTCTCCTGGTCTCCCATGGGGTGCAGGGCCCAAACACTTGGGCCATCCTCCACTGCACTCCCTGGCCACAGCAGAGAGCTGGCCTGGAAGAGGGGCAACCGGGAAAGAATCCGGTGCCCCGACCGGGACTAGAACCCGGTGTGCCGATGCCGCAAGGCGGAGGATTAGCCTAGTGAGCCGCGGCGCCGGCATGCCATAGTGTTTTAAAAGATCTACCATTAAAGAACCTCAAAGGTCTTATATCGATATAAGTTTTCTTTTTCTTTTCTTAAGGATTTATTTATTTGAAAGAGAGAGGTCTTCCATCTGCTGGTTCAGTCTCCAAATGGCCACAACAACTGGAGCTGAGCTGATCCGAAGCCAGGAGCTTCTTATGGGTCTCACACGTGGGTTCAGGGTCCCAAGGACTTGGGCCATCCTCCACTGCTTTCCCAGGCACATTAGTAGGGAGCTGGGTCGGAAGTGGGGCATCCAGGACTCAAACTCGTGCCAATATAGGATGCTGGTACTGCAGACTGGGGCTTTAACCTGCTGTGCCACAATGCCAGGCCAAGGATATCTTTTCTTATAAAATGCAGTTTTATTACTGTGTGGTGAAATGAGAAGGCCATGCCAACGTGGCCACTGGCAAGCGAGCGTCAGTTACTCAGGAATGACTTTGAAACCCACCTGGCAACGGAGCCTGCCTGGCAACAGGCTGTGATTGGATGGCTTTGAATCCCACCTGGCAATGGAGCCTGCCTGGCAACAGGCTGTGATTGGATGGCTTTGGAAACTGCCTGGCAACAGGCTATGATTGGTTGGGGCATAGAAAGCCCCTTGACCAGATTGGCTGGTCTTGGCTATATAAGATGTTGTACCAACTGAAATAAACGAGTCTGCCGGCTGCTTGCCTCAAGCCCACTTTCACCCGACTCCTGGGGTCTGTGTGGTGACTCTGTGGTGACTCCGCGTCTATTGCCCCTACCAGGCTCCTCCTCTTAGAAATGAATCCACTGCAACATTGCTGAGAAATCAACTGCAACATTACTGGGATTGGGGAGGCAGGGAAGAGGACTACTAACATTTATTGAATACGTTTATGTGCTGGGCACTTTACATAGAGTAAGTCATTTCATTCTTCTAAGAAACCTGTTAGTTAGGCATTAGCTGTATTTTACAAATGAGGAACGGAGGCTCAGAGAAGTTAAGTGGGTCACTCAAACTCATAAATTTAGGAAGTGGAGAACTGAATCTTCTTAATGTCACAGTCTATGACCAGCCTACTACTTCATGTTGCTGCCAATGTATAATTTTATTTTCAAGGATGACATGATGATTCACTGATACTTAACAACAGTGATTCTTTGGTGTCACAGGCCCCAGTGTAAATCTGAAGAAAATGATGGATCTTTTCCTCAGAAAAATGCATGCATTTACATGTGTGTGCAAAGGCAGTACATGTGCACAAATACACATGTTAAGCATAATTTAAGGAGCCCATCTGAGGCCACTTGTGAGTTCATGGACTCTAGTTAAGAGTTCTTCCTGCCTTGGTATATAGGCATATCATTTTCATTTCCCTAGAAATCATAAAATTACAGTGATTTTAATAAAAACAGTGATAATCTTTGAGTGGTACCATTATGAGTAGTTGGTAGGGGGTATATTTTATTAAACTTTTCATTTTGTACTTTAGCGTAATCTTCATTTTCTAACTTTTCATGTATATCGCTTTTTTAAAAATCACAAACATCAGGCTGTCTGGGTAATATTATGGGCAATTTTGGTTCTTGTCTTTGCATTAAGAAAAGTTACATATACACACATATATATACATATGTATATACATACATATATGTATACACACACATACTTGGATGTATATTTTAAAGGAAGTCTTTACATAGAATGATTTAGGTCTATCAGAAATGAATCTGATTCTCAAAAATCAGGCAGGTAGGGCTAGTGTTGTGGCATAGCATGTTAATCTGCTGCTTGCAACTTCGGCATTCCATATTGGAGTGCAGGTTCCTGTACTGGCTACTGCTTCTGATTCAGCTCTGCTGGTGTGCCAGGGAAAGCAGGGGATGATGACCCAAGTGCTTGGGCCCCTGCCACACACATGGGAGACCTGGATGAAATTTTTGGCTTCAGCTTGGCCCAGTTCCAATTATTGTGGTCATTTGGGGAGTGAACCAGCAGATGGAAAATTCCTCCTCCATCCTGCTTTTCTCTCTCTGATGCTCTGCCTTTAAAAAAAAATCTTAAACAAATAAGAATCAGGCAAGGCTAAGTCAGTGGGTTGGGTCTAGAGTAGGGGACCTGCTTAATAGCTAAAAGAGGAAGCAGGAAGCCCTAAGTACCTGCTTCTCACTTCTGCTGCTTGTTTCCTACTATTTTAAGTCATGCTTCATTTTTCTTCATTTTTAAAATGGAACAAAGTAACTGGTTATTGCCTCCAAAAGTTTGGAATCTGATGTAATCACAAAACATTTATTTTCACAGAAAGGATATTTATTTACTTTTAGGGAGCAGAAAAAGTTATGCCTTATCTGGCCTAAAGTGGGTTAACACCCAGTTCCTAAACATCACACCCTTTCCAAGAATTCTTTTCTAAGATATGTCCCTCCCTGGTGGTTCAGACAAATCCTTAGTGATCCCTAAATTCCATAAGCAGCTTAGCATTTATCATTTAAAAAAAATTCTTGTTGACTTGTTTAACCTGTAATTATAAGCAAGTGTCCACAGCACAATCAATGAGCAGAGTTTATAATCTAAATGCAAAGGAGATAACATTATTCTTTTACAAAATTTTCTTAATTTGAAATATAACAATTTCATTGTTCCATCAGTTAACTCAAGGTGGTATTCTTTTGACTGATAACAAATGCCAATGTGATTAATTTGTCATTCCTCTTGATCCTCCTAATCATTCTACCCAGATCCCACAAGGGCACCAATCCACTTGCTTACCTTGCAGAGCGCAACATTTACCACACTTTAGGAAGTAAGAAAAGAAATTATGCCTGGAACTTTATAGACATAGGACACTCAGAAGCCAAGGAGTATAATAAGTCAACCAGGCAGACCTCTGCAAGTATCAATTCAACTACAAGAGGGCAGAGCCTACACAGAGAGGAGTAAAGATCTCTTTTTGAGACCTTTCTCCTCACCTTTTGTAGTTTGTGCACATCTTCCTCCAGTTCTGCTCTTTGTTTCTTAAATTCCAGGAGTTTCTCTGGTATACTCTGCTTGGGCTGCAGACCTTTGTCAAAACGGTTATACATGCCACACCAGAACCTTGAATAAACAAGAAGTTTGTTAGTGGCTAAGTTTAGCTGAAAGAATTGATTGTCAAAGTTTTTCTTTTTTTACTTTTGCCAAGAAAATATTAGGCTGGTACATGGGAAGATCTTAAAAGCAATGTAATTTTGATGACATTAAAAAGATTGGACATACAATTGAAGAGTAAAGTTTCCAGCAGAAAGATCTCTGCTAGAGGAGGCACTTTGGACTTGAGCAAACTCCAGTCTCTTTTTAAACATCAAATTAAATTTTAAATTTGAGAAAATTATAGATTCAAATACAGCTTTAAGAAATAATAAAGGGAAAGGTTGGTATCAGCAAGAAGACAGAAACAGAAAGTCTTGAACTCTCTTTTCCATCCATGGACACACTGAATCAACAGCAATACAAGGATCAATTCCCTTTGTGAGAAATTCAAGACTAATTAAAGAGCTCCTGTAACCTGGGTGAGTGTGAAACTACCCATAGTGAAACAAGTAGGATAAGTGGAAACACACACCCTCAACACAGTTCCATAGGATCTGGAGAGAATCCAAAGCCCCAGCTTCCACCTGAGTACAGGAGAAATTGGACCATATATCTAATACCCTACTTCTCCAAGTGCTGAGGGACTAGCTTCTTGGCTATTTCAGAGAGCTGACAGAATATGGCATATAACAATACCTTAGAGACTCTGAAAACAAGTGGAAATTTGAACTAGCATGTAGGCATGTACCATAGCTCCTGTCCCCAGCTCAGCATGGACTGAGTGGGTCAAATTATTGTCTCCCAGCTTTCCCCTGGGGATGCAAGGCATTCCAACTTCTCCAGGAGCAACCAAGGAAATGCGTTCTCTACTGCCTGTCTAGGAGCACCAATGGGACTGGACACTCTAGATATTTGGGGGCCACTAAGAAGGGTCATTCAGACCAGCATGAAAATTTCAGAAGTTCACAGAAGCTCTGGCCAAGCTGGCTGGTGAAGGTCTTCTATAAAAGGCTGATCCATAGGACTGGGAGAGGTAGCTTTTTTCTAACATGTAGATACAAAGAGTCATAGAAAATGAAGAAAAAGGGAAATATAATTCAAACAAAGGATCAAGTTAAAACTTCAAAAACTGATGTTAATGAAATGGAAATATATTAAATATCTCACAGAATTCAAAACAACCATCATGGAAATGCTTAACAAGTTCAGGAAAACAATTTGTGAAAAAAGTAGGAGTTTCAATAAAGAGGCTAAAACTTCAAAAACGAAATAAACAAATCAAAACAGGGATCAGAATTGTGGTACAGAAGGCTAAGCTGCCACCTGTGATGCTGGCATCTCACATTGGAGTGCTGATTCAACTCCCAGCTGATCTGCTTCTGATCCAGCTCACTGCTAATGCATCTGGAAAAGCAGTGGAAGATAGTTCAAATACTTGAGCCCCAGCCAACCACATGGGAGACCTGGATAGAGTTCTAGGTTCCTGACTGTGGTCTGGCCATCCCTGGCCAATGTGGCCATTTGGGGGGAGTGAACCAGTGGATGGAAGCGCTCTCTCTCTCTCTTTTCTCCTCCTTTCCCTCCCTCCCTTCCCCTCTCCCTCTGTGTATGTGTATGTGTATGTGTATGTGTATGTGTATGTGTATGCCTCAATCTCTGTCACTCTGTCTTCAAATAAATAAATCTTAAAAAAAGAAAATAAAGGGAGTCCTCCAAGATGGCAGAATAGGGAGGGCACGCACTGATAATCCGGGAAAAGAAAGTTTAATAAAAGTGGAGATACTGTAGTTTCAGGGAAGAGTTAGGGGAAAAAACTGCAGAGGAAACTCTTCAGGAACTAGTGGGACATGGTGGACCTACGTGGAGGGCACGGGTGCCCACAACTTGGGACCCTAGCCACTGAGTCTACGCATCAGTGCTGGAAAGGGAGATGAAGTGAAACATCAGTAGCCTGAGACACTGGTGGGAAAGTGTCAGGAAGAGCCTAGAGGGAACGAGGCTTGAAGCTCACCAGGCTAACTAGAGGAGAGAAAAATAAATAAATAAAAGGGACCAGTACAGACACGATTCTCTCCAGGCGAGCATGAAAAAGAGCAGGTGCCATTTTGGACATACATAAAAGCTGCACCACCTCAGGGCAGCACCCACCCTCAGCCAAGCAGAAAAACCTGAATCTGGTGGGGAGAAATAACAGGAGGTTAAGACCTAGTGAATGTGTGGAACTTATGAACTGAGACTGTGAAAAAAAAAACTGAGGGTGTGTTAGAGAACTCATGGATATCTTGAGACGTGAGTACTCGGTGGGAGACGCCACAAACTTGGTAACCTTGGCAACCCGATGGGAGATTTCAGGGGAATCTGAGCTTACACTGAGGACTGCACAGATCCTTTGTGTGGTCCTTGGGACAGAGCAGATGAATATTATACCTACAGGGGCCAGTGCTCAGACACTGACTGCCTTCAAGGAGAATAGCTCAGCTGTGCAGAATTACTTCTCTTCTGAATACAAAAGAGAGAGAGAGAGAGAGAGAGAGAGAGAAGATTTACCACCCCAAACCTGGGTGTGTCACCTTTGGCACAGCCTTAAACCTGAAGAACTGAACAGAGCTCTCTGGCCACACCCATCACAAGCCTCTAAGGATCCACCAAAAGCAGACAGTCCACTTAATCTAGGGACATAGTATACCAAGAAAAGCCACCACAGTGAGGGAAAAAAAGAAGAAACCAAAGAATATCTCCACAATGCCAAGCAACAAACGCAGAAACCGAGGAAACAAGAACAAGGAAGACATTATGATGCCCCCAAACGAATATGACACTCCAATTCAAGATTATGAAGATGATAAGATAGAAGAAATATAAGATACAGATTTCAAAAAATTTATGATAAGAACATTTAGAAGTTCTCAAAAACAAATTCTTGAACTACAGAAATCCTTACTGGACAGGATTGAAAATCTCTCTCACGAAAATGAAATATTAAGGAGGAATCAAAATGAAATGAAAAAACTAGTAGAACATGGAACTGTGATAGTGACGAGAAATCAAAATGAAATGAAGAATTCAATAGATCAAATGAAAAACGCATTAGAGAGCCTTAAAAACAGAATCAGTGAAGCAGAAGAGAGAATATCGGACTTAGAAGACAGAGAACAGGAAAGTATACAGTCAAACTAAAGAAAAGAAGAGGAAATTAGAAAGCTAAAAAATATTGTTGGGAATCTACAGGATACTATTAAAAAACCCAATATTCGGGTTCTAGGAGTTCCTGAAGGCATGGAGAGGGAGAAAGGATTAGAAGGCCTTTTTAATGAGATACTAGCAGAAAATTTCCCAGGTTTGGAGAAGGACAGAGACATCCTAGTACAGGAAGTTCATAGAACCCCTAATAACCATGACCAAAAGAGATTCTCACCACGACACGTTGTAATGAAACTCACCACAGTAAAACATAAAGAAAAGATTCTAAAATGTGCAAGAGAGAAACGTCAGATTACTCTCAGAGGATCTCCAATTAGACTCACAGCAGACTTCTCATCAGAAACCCTACAGGCTAGGAGGGAATGGCAAGACATAGCCCAGGTAGTAAGAGAAAAAAACTGCAAGCCCAGAATATTATATCCTGCAAAGCTCTCATTTGTGAATGGAGGTGAAAAAAAGACCTTTCATAGCAAACAGAAATTGAAAGAATTTTTCACTACTCATCCAGCCCTGCAAAAGATGCTTAAAGATGTGTTATACACAGAAACACAGCCATCAATATAAAAGAAGGTAAAAGAAGAATACCTCCCAGTAAAAGATCACAGGACGTTCAAAGCATATATTAAAAATATCTTTGGGAAAATGGCAGGGCAAAGTTATTACTTATCAATAGTCACATTGAATGTTAATGGCCTCAACTCTCCAGTTAAAAGACACAGACTAGCTGATTGGGTAAAGGAACAAAACCCATCTATTTGCTGCTTACAAGAAACACATCTGTCCAACAAAGATGCATACAGACTGAAAGTGAAACGTTGGAAAAAGATATTCCATGCCAGCGGGAACCAAAAAGAGCTAGCATAGCCATCTTAATATCAGACAAAATAAACTTTAACACAAAAACTGTTAAGAGAGACAAAGAGGGGCACTATATAATGATTAAGGGTTCAATTCAATAGGAAGATGTAACTATTATAAATGTATATGCTCCTAATTACAAGGCACCTGTTTATTTAAAAGATATGTTAAGGGACTTAAAGGGAAACTTAGACTCCAATACAGTAGTACTGGGAGACTTCAATACTCCACTCTCAGAAATAGACAAATCAACCTCATAGAAGATCAACCAGGAAATAGCAGATTTAATCAACACTATAGCCCAGATAGATCTAATAGATATCTACAAAACTTTTAATCCTACACTTAAAGAATTTACATTCTTCTCAGCAGTATATGGAACCTTCTCTAGGATTGACCACATACTAGGCCATAAAGCAAGTCTCAGCAAATTCAAAAGAATTAGAATCATACCATGCAGCTTCTCAGACCACAGTGGAATGAAGCTGTAAATTAGCAACTCAGGAATCCCTAGAGCATATGCAAACACATGAAAACTGAACAACAGTGGGTCACAGAAGAAGTCAAAAGAGAAATCAAAAACTTTCTGGAAGTAAATGAGGATAACAACACATCATATCAAAACTTATGGGATATAGCAAAAGCAGTGTTAAGAGGAAAGTTTATGGCAATAAGTGCCTACATCAAGAAATTGGAAAGTCACCAAATAAATGAGCTTTCAATGCATCTCAAGGATCTAGCAAAACTGCAGCAAACCAGACTCAAACCTAGAAGGAAAAGAGAAATAATTAAAATCAGAGAAGAATTCAACAGAACTGAATCAAAAAAAAAAAAAAAACATTACAAAAGATCAACCAAGGGAAGAGCTGGTTTTTTGAAAAAATAAACAAAATTGACACACCATTGGCCCAACTAACTAAAAAAAGAAGAGAAAAGACCCATATCAATAAAATCAGAGATGAAAAAGGAAATGTAACAATAGACACCACAGAAATAAAAAGAATCATCAGAAATTACTACAAGGACCTGTATGCCAGCAAACAGGGAAATCTCAGAAATGGATAATTCCTGGACACATGCAACGTACTTAAATTGATCTATGAAGACATAGAAAACTTAAACATACCCATAACTGAGATAGAAATTGAATAAGTAATAAAGACCCTCCCAACAAAGAAAAGACCAGGACCGGATGGATTCACTGCTGAATTCTACCAGACATTTAAAGAAGAACTGACTCCAATTCTTCTCAAACTATTCAGAACAATCGAATAAGAGGGAATCCTCCCAAATTTTTTCTATGAAGCTAGCATCACCTTAATCCTAAGCCTGAAAAAGATGCAGATCTGAAAGACAATTACAGACCAATATCCCTAATGAACATAGACCCAAAAATCCTCAATAAAATTCTGGCTAACAGAATGCAACAACACATCAGAAAGATCATCCACCCAGACCAAGTAGGATTTACCCCTGGTATGCAGGGATGGGTCAGTGTTCGCAAATCAATCAATGTGATATACCACATTAACAGACTGCAGAAGAAAAACCATATGGGCCGGCGCCGTGGCTCAATAGGCTAATCCTCCACCTAGCGGCGCCGGCACACCGGGTTCTAGTCCCGGTCGGGGCGCCGGATTCTGTCCCAGTCGCCCCTCTTCCAGGCCAGCTCTCTGCTGTGGCCAGGGAGTGCAGTGGAGGATGGCCCAAGTACTTGGGCCCTGCACCCCATGGGCGACCAGGATAAGCAGCTGGCTCCTGCCATCGGATCAGTGCGGTGTGCCAGCTGCAGCACGCCGGCCGCAGCGGCCATTGGAGGGTGAACCAACGGCAAAGGTAGACCTTTCTGTCTCTCTCTCTCACAGTCCACTCTTCCCGTCAAAAAAAAAAAAAAAAAAAAAAAAAAGAAAAGAAAAGAAAAAAGAAAAAACATATGATTATCTCAATAGACGCTGAGAAAGCATTCAAGAAAATACACACCCTTTCATAATGAAAACTCTAAGCAAACTGGGTATAGAAGAAACATTCCTCAATACAATCAAAGCAATTTATGAAAAACCCATGTCCAGCATCCTATTGAATGGGGAAAAGTCTGGTACCAGACAGGGATGCCCACTCTCACCACTGCTATTCAAAACAGTTCTGGAAGTTTTAGCCAGAGCCATTAGGGAAGAAAAAGAAATTAAAGGATACAAATTGGGAGGGAAGAAATCAAACTATCCCTCTTTGCAGATGATATGATTCTTTATTTAGCGTATCCAAAGAACTCTACTAAGAAACTATTTGATGTCATAGAAGAGTTTGGCAGCACTCCTGCCTCAGAATCAACCCTTGGGACATTCAGATCTGGCTAAAAGGTTCATGAGAATCTCACAGGCATGGGAAGCCATGACACAGTGGCAAAAAAACAATCTAAATGAAAGATCCTGGTGAACAAGACTCCAGCAGAAGGAACAGGCCATCAAAGAGGGAGGCGCCTTTCTCTGAAGGGAGGAAGGAACCTTCACTGTGATATGGCCTTGACTAAACAAGTTCAGAGTTGGTGAACTCAAGGGGCTTCCATAGCCTAGACAGCACATAGCAAGAGTCTCGGGTGATTGCTGATGTCATAAATAAGATTGCCAACTGTTAAATCAACAACGGGAGTCACTGAGTACAGGCTCCCCACGTAGGATCTCTGTCCTTTATGTGTTTTACTATGAAACTTAAAAACAACACTACTAGTCGAACAATGCCGTATACCTTGTGCGGTTGTGTGAGTGCAGCCTGTTGAAATCCTTGCTTAGTGTATACTAAGTTGATCTTCTGTATATGAAGGTGATTAAAAATGAAACTCAATGAAGGGCAGGATGGGAGAGGGAGTGGGAGAGGGGAAGGCTGCGGGAGGGAGGGAGTTTGGGGGGAGGGAGCCACAACAATACAAAAGATGCACTTTGTAAATTCCAATTTATTAAATTAAAAAAAAATAAAAGAGTTTGGCAAAGTAGCAGGATGTAAAATCAATGCACAAAAATCAACAGTCTTTGTATACACAGGCAATGCCACGGCTGAGAAAGAACTGCTAAGATCAGTCCCATTCACAATAGCTACAAAACAAGCAAATACCTTGGAATAAACTTAACCAATGACGTCAAAGATCTCTACGATGAGAATTACAAAATTTTAAAGAAAGAAATAGAAGACGACACCAAAAAATGGAAAAATCTTCCATGCTCATGGATTGGAAGAATCAATATCATCAAAATGTCCATTCTCCCAAAAGCAGTTTATAGATTCAATGTGATACCAATCAAAATAACAAAGAAATTCTTCTCAGATCTGGAAAAAATGATGCTGAAATTCATACAGAGGCACAGGAGACCACGAATAGCTAAAGCAATCTTATACAACAAAAACAAAGCCAGAGGCATCACAATACCAGATTTCAGGACATACTACAGGGCAGTTGTAATCAAAACAGCATGGTACTGGTTCAGAAACAGATGGATAGACTAATGGAACAGAATAGAAACACCAGAAATCAATCCAAACATCTACAGCCAACTTATATTTGATCAAGGATCTAAAACCAACTCCTGGAGCAAGGACAGTCTATTCAATAAATAGTGCTGGGCAAACTGGATTTCCACGTGCAGAAGCATGAAGCAAGACCCCTACCTTACACCTTACACAAAAATCCACTCAACATGGATTAAAGACCTAAATTTACGACTGACACCATCAAATTATTAGAGAACATTGGAGAAACCCTGCAAGATACAGGCACAGGCAAAGACTTCTTGGAAAGGACCCCAGAGGTACAGGCGGTCAAAGCCAAAAATTAACAATTGGGATTACATCCAATTGACAAGTTTCTGCACAGCAAAAGAAACAGTCAGGAAAGTGAAGAGGCAACCGACAGAATAGGAAAAAAAAGATTTGCAAACTATGCAACAGATAAAGGGTTGATAACCAGAATCTACAAAGAGATCAAGAAACTCCACAACAACAAAACAAACAATCCACTTAACAGATGGGCCAAGGACCTCAATAGACAATTTTACAAAAGAGGAAATCCAAATGGCCAACAGACACATGAAAAAATGTTCAGCATCACTAGCCATCAGGGAAATGCAAATCAAAACCACAATGAGGTTTCACCTCACCCCGGTTAGAATGGCTCACATACAGAAATCTACTAACAACAGATGCTGGCGAGGATGTGGGGAAAAAGGGACACTAACCCACTGTTGCTGGGAATGCAAACTGGTAAAGCCACTATGGAAGTCAGTGTGGAGATTCCTCAGAAACCTGAATATAACCCTACCATACAACCCAACCATCCCACTCCTTGGAATTTACCCAAAGGAACTTAAAAGGGCAAGTAAAAAAGCTGTCTGCACCTTAATGTTTATTGCAGCTCAATTCACAATAGCTAAGACCTGGAATCAACCTAAATGCCCATCAACAGTAGACTGGAAAAAGAAATTATGGGATATGTACTCTATAGAATACTACACAGCAGTAAAAATCAATGAAATCCGGTCAGGGACTGATGGGTAATCAGCCAGCAGAGAAATATAAGGATGGAAATCTCAGAAGATCAGAGAATAAAGTCCAGAAAATGTACTCAAAGAAATAATAGGGGAAGAGCCAAGATGGTTGCTATGTAAGAAGTTCTGACAACCACTCCTCTGCAAATACAGCAAGGTGAACACCTATACACACAAGTCACCATCATGAGAGGTACAAAAACCAGATTATAAGCCAGATTTTCTTGTTATAAGAAAAGTCATACTGAAGAAAGCAGGAAGTAAAGAGTTGCCCAAGTCATATACCTTTCTCAGTTCAACGAATACAGAATGGAGAGATGACAGATGGAGAGGGAGGATGAATTGAATCCCAGTTCATCCCACTATTGAACCCTACTACCCAAAAAAATGGAGCTTCCATCCAGCTGTTGTGGCCAATTGGGGAGTGAACCATCGGATGGAAGACCTCCCTCCCTCTCCCTCTACCCCTCCCCCTCTCTGTGTAACTCTGACTTGCAAATAAATAAATAAATCTTATAAAAATAACCTTCCTGCCATCCCTCCTCCAATTACCTGTGGAAATCAAGCTCTAACCACATAGAGAGGCCAGGAAAGGGAATTTAGGACCATGCCTTGGATCTCAGAGCCAGTCTTACTGTGCCAAGATCTAGCACCTGGTAAAAGTACAAAGGACTCTACTACTCAACCAGCCAATGCTTGCACTAAGCTTTTAAATTTGTAGGGTATTAGGCAGATACCTGCACTCCAATGGGTAAGATTATTTTGGTACCTGTCACAAGATTATTTTCATACTCTGTGGGCCCCAAAGGGCTGCCTTTATCATTTTCCACCAACCTTGAGCAGATAGAAGAGGCTAAGGGACTGTGTCTTGGAAATCAGTGCTGGGCTGGTAAAAACCAATGCTGGGTAGATACTAATGGTTTCCATCTCTAGGCCAGTGACTGTGGATAGTGTCAGTGGACTTACTCTCATATCAGGTGGAGACTTGTACCTGGTGAGAGATTTAGTTTGGCATGTAGCACCAGCAGTCTCTTGTGGGCCTTGGGTATACTCCCAAGATTACAAAGGGCTTGGTAACTGTGAGACCCAGATGTGAACCAGTCTGAGTAGCTGAGGAACACCTCTATCACCTCTACAAAAACCTTGGCAGATACCAAGGAATCACAGGACTGTTTTGGAACTCAGTGCAAGGATGATAAAAGCTAACATTGAAAAGAATCCAACAGTCCCTGTCCATAAGTCATGCCTGCAGACTGAGCCTCTGGATCTGTTTCAGTGCCCAGTGGAGTTCTGCGGTCTTGGTTGAGCAATCCTACACCCAAACCAGCATCACCAGTAGCTGATAGTTGCAGCATCAGGCAGTGAACCCATCTCAGCAACAGAAAAGAGTTCTTAGAACTTCTAGAAGGAGAGCAATATACAAAGTCAGATACTAAAACTAATCATTCAATGAGCAGATCACACCATACTCCAACAAACATCAAGAAGTTCCAGGGAACCACAACCTCACCTAAAGAGCAAAATAAGGCACCAGAATCTAACTACCTAGGACTTAAGAATGCCAAAGGGGTAGAGAGCATTATCAAAGAGATAATGACAGATAACTTTGCAAACCTAGAGAAAGATATAACTTTTCAGGTACAGGGAAGACAAAGGTTACCAATCAATTTAACCCAACCAAGTCTACCTCAAGATATATTATAATCAAGCTCTCAAAATTTAAAAATAAAGAGAATTTTCAAAGCTACAAGAGAAAATAAGCAAGTAACATACAATGAGGTCCTAAGTAGCTGGAATGCAGACTTCTTAATAGAAACTTTAAAGCGATGAGACTTTTACAGAACTGAAGGGAAAAAAAATGCCCCCATAAGACTACTCTACCCAGCAAAGCTATCTTTTGGATATGATGGAGAGATAAAGATATTTCAAGACAAATAAAATCCAAGAGAATTTATCATAACCAGATTTGTGTTACATGAAAGGTTAAAGGGGGTTCTTTAAATTCAAAGAAAGAGACAGAAACATGTAATAAGAAAATATCAGAAGGTAGAAAACTTGTTGGTAAGAGTAACTATAGCAACAAATTAGGAATGCTCTGATATTATAACATGGTGTGTAAGTAAGTTATAGCATTACTTGGAGTAATAAAAATTAAAAATACTATAATAAAATGTTAAGAGACAAGCAATATGGAAAGAGGCAAAATGTGTAGAATGGAGCACAAATGTGGAGTGCTTTATTAGGCTTTCTTATCTCTTTTCCTATTTTTATAATCAACATTATAATTTCAACATAACTTGTTATAGCCAAAGAAGTTTTTTTTTTGTAAGTCTTAAGGTAACAACAAAGCAAAAACATATATACATAGCTTTATCAAAACTAATAAGCAAAGACTTAAAGTATATCATTAGAGAAAATCACTTAACCACAAATGAAGTTTCTAATTTAGTGACAAAAAGAAACAATTAAAATAGTTTTTAAAAGTACAAAAATGGCAGAAATAAGACCTTTTCTATCAATAATTACTTCAAATGTCAATGGACTAAATTCTCCAATTAAAACAGTGACTGAATGAATTAAAAAATAGGACCCAAGGATATAAGAAATTCACTTCAACTCTAAGGACACACATAGACTGAAAATGAAAGGATAGAACAAGATAAGCCATGATAAGAAAGAAAAAAAGAAAGCAGGAAAAGCTGGATTTATATCAGATAAAATAATTTTAAATAATATGTAGTAAAAAGAGACCAGGAAGGCCATTATGTAATGACAAATGGTTTATTTCAGCAAGAGGAAATAACACTTGCAAAATCATATGTATCTGGGGCATAGCAGGTAAAGCTGCCAGCTGCAGTACTGGCATCTCATATGAGTACCAGTTTAAGTCCAGGCTGCTCCACTTCCCATCCAGCTCTCTGCTATGGCCTGGGAAAGCAGTAGAAGATGGCCCAAGTCCTTTGAAGATGGCCCTGCTTTGGAGACCGGGAAGAAGCTCTTGGCTTCGGATTGGCACAGCTCTGGCTGTTGTGGCCATCTGTGGAGTGAACCAGCGGATGGAAGACCTCCCTCCCCCCAACTCTCTCTCTGTCTCTGCCTCTCAGTAACACTGCCTTTCAAATAAATAAATAAATCTTTAAAAAAATCATATGCACCCAATATTGGAGTAGCCAAGCACATAAAGCAGATATCAATAGACCTAAAGGGAGAGACAGACTCTAATAAAAATCAGTAGGGGGACATTAACACCCCACTTTCAGAAATGAACAGATCATCTCGCAGAGCTCAATTTCATCCTAGAGCAAATGCACCTAACAGACATCTACAGAACTTTCCATCCAACACCTGCAGAATACATATTCACCTCAAAAGCACATAGGAACATTTTCCAGGATACATCACATACTAAACATACAAAACAGGTCTCAACAAATTAAAAAAAAAAAACCAGAAATCATATCAAGTATCTTTTTGGCAACAATTCAAGAAAACTAGAAATCAATAATAAGAAAAATGTTATAAACTATACAAACACATGGAAATTAAACTTACTCCTGAACAACTGATGATCAAGGAAGAAATCAAGGAGGAAACCAAAAAATTTCTTGAAATTATTGAAAATGGGAATACTCCATACCAATAGTTCATGGGATACAACAAAAGCAATATCAACAGTTAAGTTTACAGCAATCAATGCCTGCATTAAACAAACAAAACAAACCAAAAAAACCCAGAGAAGACCTCAAGAAAATAACTGCTTACCATACCCCAAGGAATCTGAAAAACAATAAATCAAATCCAAAGTTGGCAGAAGGAAAGAAACACTGTAACTCAGAATACAAATAAATAACAGAGACTAATTTTTTAAAAAACTTGATGAAACGAAGAGCCAGTTCTTTGAAAATATAAACAAAATTGATAAACCCTTAGCCAAGAAAAAAGAGAAGTTTTGAAATACAAAGCAGTAGATATAAAAATGGGGACATTACCACTGTTACCACAGAAATACAAAGTAATGTTGGAGATTACTATGGCAACATATTTGATAACCTAGAGGACATGGACAAATTCCTGGACACATGTATCTTGTCCAGAAATAGAATACTTAAACAGACCAATAATGAGTTGAAAAATTGAATCAGTAATAAAAAGTCTCCCATCAAAGAAAAGCTCAGGATGAATTGGCTGTACTGCTGAATTCTACCAAATATTTAAAGAATTAACACTAGTCTGGGGGCCAGTGCTGTGGTACAGTGGGCCAGGGCTCCACTTTCAATCCAACTCCCTGCTAATGTGCCTGGGAAAGCACCAGAGGATGGCCCAAGTCCTGGGGCCCCTGCACCCACGTGGGAGATCAGGAAAAAGCTCCTGGCTTCGGATCGGCTTAGCTCCTCTGGCTATTGCAGCCTTTTGAGGAAAGAACCCGTGGATGGAAGACCTCTCTCTCTGTAACTCAAATAAATAAATCTTTTTTTTTTAAAAAGAATTAACATCAGTCCTTCTTAAATTACTTCAATAAAGTAGAAGAAGAGGGAACTTCTCTAAATTCATTCTATGAGGCCAGCATTACCTTCATACCAAAACCAGTCAAGGTATACAACAACAGCTACGGGTCAATATCCCTGAGGAGGTAGGTGCTGTGGAGAAGCAGGTTAAGTCTCTATCTGCAGCGCTTGCATCCCATATGGGTGCAGTTTGAGTCCCGGCTGCTCCACTTCCAATCCAGCTCCTTGCTAATGCACCTGGGAAAGCAGCTGAGGATGGTTCAGGACCTTGGGCCCCTGGACCCACATGGGAGACCCAGAAGGAGCTCCTGGCTCCTGGTTTCTGCTTGGCCTAGCCCCAGGCCCTGCGGCCATTTGGGGGAGGGAACCAGTAGATGGCAGATATTTTTCTCCTTCTCTCTGTAGCTCTATCTTTCAAATAAATGAAAAAAAAAAATGTCCTTGAGGAATACAAAAATGAAAATCCTCAGCAAAATACTAGGAAATCAAGTCTAATAGCACATTAAAAGCATCATTAACATGATCAAGTGGAATTCATCCCAGAGATGGTTCAATATATGCAAATCAACAAACGTGATACACCACAATCAACACAATGAAGAAAAAGCCTAGGATTATATTAGTAGAAGCAGAAAAGGCATTTGATAACATTCAAAATCCCGGGGCTAGCACTGCAGCGCAGTGAGTAAAAGCCACTGCCTACACTGCCAGCATCCCATATGGGTGCCGGTTTGAGTCCCGGCTGCTCCACTTCTGATCCAGCTCTCTGCTATGGCCTGGGAAAGCAGAAGATGGCCCAAGTCCTTGGGTCCCTGCACCCATGTGGGAAAACTGGAAGAAGCTCCTGGATCCTGGCTCTTGTCTTCAGATTGGCCTACTTCTGGCCGTTGGCAGGCACTTGGGGAGTTAACCACTGGATGGAAGACTTCTCTTTCTGCCTCTGTCTCTCTGTAATTCTGCCTTTCAAATAAAATAAAAAAATCTTTAAAAAATCAAAATCACGTCTGAGTAAAAATTCTGACCATAGGAACATAGCTCAACACAATAAAGAACATATATGGCAAGCAAGCCGTTAACATCAGATTGAATGGGGGAAAAGGTGAAAGCTTTCTAAGACCTAGACCAAGACAAGGGTATTCACCTTCACCACTTTATTCAATATAGTACTGTAGGTCTTGGCTAGAGCAAGTAGGCAAGAGAAAGAAAGAAAGGGCATTCAAATTGGAGAGGATGAAGTCAAATTGTCACTGTTTACAGAGGACATAATTTTATATATAGAAAATCCCAATGACCCCACCAAAAAGCTGTTGGAGCTAATAGACATACTCAGCAAAGTCAATGTACAAAAATCAGTAGCACTGTTATACACCATTTCTAATAGCTTAAATATATTTACACATTTCAAAATCACAGAGAATAAATTTCAAATGTCTCATAACAAGAAAAAGAGTGAGGCAGATACATTAATTAGCTTGATTCAGTCATTTCACATTGCATACATGTATTAGAACATCACATTATACCTCATAACTATATACAATTATAATTGATAAATTAAAATACTGATAAAAGAGGTAAATGTATAGTGATAAATATTACACTAAAAAAGAAAAATTATCCCAAGTCAACAGCATAACCTTACATCTCAAGGAACTAGGAAAAGAACAAACTGGCCCAAAGTTAACAGAACATTAAATATTAAATGTAAGAGAATAAATAAATGTAATAGAGAATAAAAAATCAAATAATGTAAGAGATAGCTCTTTTTAAAATAAAGATGAGCAAATTTGACAAAACTCTTTAGCTAAACTATGGGAGTCGAATATAATCATAAATGAGAAAGAAGCCATTACAATTCATGCCATATAAATAAAAAGAATTATAAAGATTAGTACAGGTTAAGCATCCCTATTTAGTAACTTTGAGCGGCCTGCATTGTGGTGCAGCAGGTTAAGCTGCTGCCTGAGACACAGACATCCCACAAAGGTGCTGGTTTGAATCCCAGCTTTCCAACTTCTCATCCAGCTTCCTGCTAATGTGCCCAGTAAAGTGCTTAGACCTCTGCTGGTTTCAGCATGGCCTAGCCCTGGTCATTGCAGTCCTTTGGTGAGTGTACCAGCAGATGGAAGATCCTGTCATTCATTCATTCATTCATTCATTCATTCATTTTCTCTCTCTCTTTCTCTCTCTTTGCCCTCTCCTGTCAATTCTGCCTTCCAAATAAATATTTTTTAAATGAAAGATCTGAAATCTAAAATGCTCTAAAATCTGCTTTACTCAAAAGTTTTGGATTTTGAGGCATTTTGGATTTCAGATTAGAAATGCTCAACCAGTAATTGTAAGGAAATACTCTAAAACCTGAAATTGAAATCCTTCTGGTCCCAAACCTTTTGGATAAGGGATACTCCACCTATACAATTTTATTCCAACAAACTGAACAACCTAGAAGAAATGGATAAATTTCTAGAAACACAGCCCACTGGGTCATAAAGAAATACAAATAATGACTAAGGATAGTGAATCAGGAATCAAAAACCTTCAAACAAAGAAAAGCCCAGGACAAGTGGCTCCACTGGAGAATTCTCCCAAACATTTAAATAGGAATTAATGTTAATACTTCAAAAAATTGGAGAACAAAACATGTTTCCAAACTCCCTTTACAAGGCCACCATCACCTCCCCACCAAATCAAATAAGGATATCACAAGGAAAGAAAATTACAGGTCATATCTCTAATGAACACAGATACAAAAGTCTTCAAACAAATACTAGCAAAGTCAATTCAACAGCACATTAAAAGGATTCTGTATTATGTTAAGTGGAATTCATCACTGGATATCAAGATGGCTCAATATATGCAAATTAATGTGATATACCACATTAATAGAATAAAGGATAAAAATCATGATATCTCAACAGATGCAGGGAAAGCATTTGAGAAAATTTACTACCCTTTTTTAAAAGAGATTTATTTATTTATCTGAAAGGCAGAGTTACACACAGAGAGAGAGAGAGAGAGAGAGAGAGACAGAGAGGTCTTCCATCTGCTGGTTCACTCCCCTATTGGCTACAATCTGAAGCCAGGAGCCAGGAGCTTCTTCCGGGTCTCTCATGTGGGTGCAGAGGCCCAAGGACTTGGGCCATCTTCTACTGCTTTCCCAGGCCATAGCAGACAGCTGGATTGGAAGTGGGGCAGCTGGGTCTTGAACTGGTGCCCATATGGGATGCCGGCACTGCAGGTGGTGGCTTTACCTGCTATGCCACAGTGGCGGCTCCTTAATATCCTTTCATAATAATAATGATTTTGGGGCCGGCGCTGTGGCTCACTTGGTTAATCCTCTGCCTGCAGCGCCAGCATCCCACGTGGGTGCCGGGTTCTAATCCCGGTTGCTCCTCTTCCAGTCCAGCTCTCTGCTGTGGCCCGGGAGGGCAATGGAGGATGGCCCAGGTGCTTGGGCCCCTGCACCTGCATGGGAGACCAGGAAAAGGCACCTGGCTCCTGGCTTCGGACTGGCACAGCGCCGGCCATGGCGGCCGTTTGGAGAGTGAACCAATGGAAGGAAGACTCTCTCTGCCTCTCTTTTTCACTGTCTATAACTCTACCTGTCAAATAAGAAAAACCAAGCAAATAAACAAACAAACAAACAAAAAAAGATTTAGGTACAGAGGGAATTTATGGGCAGGCTTTTGCCCTACCCCTAGTGGTTAAGACACCAGTTAGGATGTCTGCATCCCATATCAGAGTGTCTGGGTCTTTAACTTATAAACAACAATTAAAATATACCTATGCAAAGGAGCAAACATTATAAAACTCTTAACAGAAACTACAGGGTAAAAGTTTTATGACAATGGATTTAGCAAGGATTTAATGGATAAGACACAAAAAAGGCAACAAAATAAAAATAGATAAACAGATATCATACTCATGTAATTACTGACTTCCGGAATACAAGAGCCAAATTTGTTCATTACAAATTACCCAGTCTGTGGTATTCTGCTATAGCAACATAAATTGAAGTGAGTCAAGACCTGAACTGGGAATCCAATGAAAATGGGGCTTCCCAACTATATAGAATTTATGTGGCACAGATCAAGCTCTAACTAACAGGGATCATAAACAGTTGACTACCATAGTATAAGACAGATCTCACATAAGTGTGGAACAAAGGAATGACCCTCAAAGGAGGCTTTGGACCTCAGTCCACATATACTTTGTTGATGTGGATTTTTATGGCTTGGAGGGTTGCCCAGCCTATATTAGACCTCATAAAGAGTCTGGGCAGACAATCAATGGAAAATGTTAGCCAAGGCCAAAGATTTCCTCCATCAGCTAGAGATGTTGAAGTGGGCTTATCAGGCAACAGGTGGTGTGAAGCATGATAACTTGGCATGTCCAGAGTAGACTAAATGGAGTCATGAGTCTGCCCAGTTGTTTTTCAGGAAGACTCCTGACAAGTCTAAGTCCTCTTTTCTGACACTAATAGATAATGGTAAAATAATTTAAGAAATCATAGCTGTCCTGGATTTAAAAGAAACTCATTAAAGACAAACTAAAGTGTTCCTTGTTAATTCTACAAACAATATACCATCTGCTTAAACAAAAATTATTATCAACAGTGATGCCAGCACCCCTCAAGGCCCAGAAAACCACCTACAGCCAGGCCCCTGTTTCAGTGCGGACCCTGACATGAACAAGAGAGGTTATACTAGATCTTAAAGAATAAGAGGGAGCCGGCGCCGCGGCTCACTAGGCTAATCCTCTGCCTAGCGGCACCGGCACACTGGGTTCTAGTCCTGGTCGGGGCAATGGATTCTGTCCCGGTTGCCCTCTTCCAGGCCAGCTCTCTGCTGTGGCCAGGGAGTGCAGTGGAGGATGGCCCAAGTGCTTGGGCCCTGCACCCCATGGGAGACCAGGATAAGCACCTAGCTCCTGGCTCCTGCCTTCAGATAGGCGCGGTGCGCCGGCTGCAGTGCGCCAGCCATTGGAGGGTGAACCAACGGCAAAAGGAAGACCTTTCTCTCTCTCTCTCTCTCTCTTTCTCACTGTCCACTCTGCCTGTAAAAAAAAAAAAAGAATAAGAGGGACCCAAATTTGATGACCTCTGGTCAGTGGAACAATTACAATGCTTACTAGGGTTATATTACAATCTGCAGCAAGTGTTTGAAGACAGCTTCTCTTTCAAAGCCTGCCCTTGATCTCCAATAGTAGGGACCTGGCAGTTGTAGAACCCAGCAACTTCCAGTAAATAGTTGTGCTTTTACCATATTAACTGTAGTTTTGCTCTAAACAATGGGTGCCCAAATCTCCCTAATGCCAGGAATCATCTATGCTCTAAAGGCATCCCTTTACCTCAACCCTATCCAATAAGTGATTGACTTAAGAGGAAGACTATTTAAAGGAATAATTACCCATTTCATTATTAAAACTGGCTCAGTTCTGCTAAAATATTTCATCCTGATTATATCACTTGAGACTACCTTTTTTTTTTTTCCAATTATTTGAATGAACTTCAGTGAGCAAGTAATCTAAGGGAAAAATTTCAGACTTTTCAGCATTTGGTGGATACCACCTTGTGAGAACCAATTAATCCTTCCTTACTGGTGCAGATCATTCTTTTAGTATCAAGTAGCATGCAGAAAGTTTCCAAAAATTTTGGTTTCTTTGAAAAGATTCATAGTTTTAACACTTAACATTTAAATCTGTGATCCATTTTGTATTACATTTTGCATAAAATATAAGGAATAGGTCAGTTAATTTGGAGTGGGGGGTGGTAGTCAATGGATTGCCTTGGTATCATTTGTTGAAAAGGCTGTCCTTCCCCAGTTGGATTGCTTTGCAATCAGGACATATTTATATGGGCCTAGTTTTAGATTTTCTATCCTATTCTACTGAGCTACCTATCTCTCTCTTCATCAACATCAGAGACTTGATTACCACCGTTTGAAACTGGGTAGTGATTT